TTTTTTTTTTTTTTTTTTCCCCAACACCTCCCCGAGGAACGCACGGGGAGGAGGAAGCACAATTTCCCATTGTGAGCATCTTTCTCTTTATTGTTCTGCTCGGCAAAACACAACGTGCACGGCTAACAAACATCCCTTTATTTGCAGGCCACAGTGTCAGGGAATTCAGGGAAAATGCCAGCACCGCACAGGGCTCCAGCAGCCCCTTGGGCTGGCAAAGCCTCCCCTCGGCGTCGGCCCCCAGCGTCGGCAAAGTGCTGCTCACGCAGACATCAGGGCAATGGTGAATTTTATGCCCCCCACTGCCAAGTTTCTGGTGGAAGGATGCTGCTCACACCCTTCGGGGCTCCTGTGGGTTGTGCAAGGGGGGGGGTGTCCCACCCCTCTTGCCTTCCACTAGCCTTATCCTGCCCCATGGAAGGGCATTGGAGACACTTCTCCATCATCACCTTGGGGCCTGGATGCTGCTGGCAGCAAAACACGGCCACACAATGGGGCTGTGTTCTGGGCTCCCTTATCTTCTCCCTCCCCTGGGGTCCATCTCCAAGGGTGGAGGAAGCTTTTCTCAAAGGAAACACAAGACAAGCAGCATCTGTCCCCGGCACCAAAGGACACAACGATCCCAGCTTCGCCGTGGCACGCATGGCACGGAAAACAAAACTCCCTGGGAGGGGATGCAGCACCAGGGCACGCACTGGCTCCCCATCCCGGTTTGAATTTGGCTGCTTGTACAGAGGGGTTAATGCAATAACCTGCCTGAACTTTGATGACAGTGGGCTGGACTGGAAGCCTCCAAAGCTCTCACAGCTCAAACTTTGTGCTCTGCCTCATTTTAATGAGCAAACGGTAGCCAGACCTTTGCTGCCCCCTCCCCACAGAGAAAGGCTAAACCGCAGCAGCACTGCACGTTCCTCTCCTGCACCTCCCCACAGTTATTTTGTGGCTGTTCAGAGAGCACCTATGATCTCCCTCCATCACACTTCCCATGCCCACGGCTGCAAAAGCAGATCCTGATCCTCCCCCGGCAGCGCCCAGCCCTGGGCAGCAGCTCAGAGCTCCTTGGCCAAAGGATGCAGTTTCCCAGCTCCGTGGTACCACAAATGAGGCATTTCTTGCATTTTTCCCCAGTGAAGGCAATAGCTACACCCCTTGGCTCTCACAAAACCACAGCCTGAAGCAGGGCACTTGACGGGGCTTCCAAAAGTGACTCATTCCCCTTCCCCATCCCGTCGGCATCAGGGCATGACCCCAGCCTGCTGCTGCTTATCTGAGCTCATAATTTGGCCCGGCGCTGTGGAAAGGAGTTATCCGAGTCACTTCCCAAACACACTCTGTGTTTTACATCTCAGCTCCTTTTCTCTCCCTCTCCCTTTTTTGGGATTTGTACCCGCTCGGTACGTTACAAACACCTCTCTGCAACAGCAGGAGCAGCCAAAGAAAAGCAAAGGAAACCCTCATCTTGCAGCTTCCCCCACCTCTCCTGGCATGGATGGCTCAGAGCAGCCTCTGATTCCGCTCCTCGCCCTTATTTTTCAAGGTTCAGCCTCTCCTCCCCACACAGCCCCATAGGTAACCTCTTCACCAAAGCCCTCCTGAACCATCATTTCTCCTACTGACCAGGGAGTTTAAACCCAGCTTTTCTGAGCTTGCCAGAGCCCAGCACCTCTGCAGCAAGTCAGGGCCACCGCGCTTGCCGCACCACTTTCCACGTCCTCTGTTGGACCCAACCACCCCCAAATCATCACATTTCTCCCATGCCAAACCTCCAGAGAGGCTGAAAACTTGGTGGAAAACTTGGCTGTCCCCCAGCCACGGCTCGCCTGACACCCCAAATCCCACCCCGACCCTCTCACACCCAGCCAAGGTGGATGCTGACACCAAAAGCCCCCCCCACTTCCCCAGCAGAGTGGCCCAAGCCACCTGATGCGACAAAACGAGATGCCGAAGCATGCCAGGGTGGCCAGCCCGGGGTTTCCGTGTTGGCAGCACCGTCCTGCTCCTGGTCGGCTCTTCCGCCCGTGGGAAGCACCGAGGCGAGGGCAGGACCTGGCAGCCGCCCTGGCAGGCGGAGTTTGCAGCCCCAGCGCCTTTCACCTTGTGTCTTCCCAGTTTCACAGTGAGTTTGCCTTCTCCAGCTGCCCCAAGATGCCAGAGCACACTGCTGCCTCCAAGCTCCAGCTCTCTGGGCTGTGCTTCCTCCTTCAAATCCTCACCATCATCCTCTTCGCTGTCTTTGTCCGGTACAGTCCAGAGAACAGCCCCAGCTTCTGCTCCCAGCAGCTGAACTGCAGCTGGAGAAATCAGGACTCAGGTTCTCAGCACCCCTGTGAGTATGCCCACCCCGGGTGGGTGCAGAGAGCGACTCCAGCTGGTCCCCAGGCATTGCTGAGGGGGTGGCATGGGATGTCACCATGCTCGGTCAAGGCTGGAGACCTGTCACTCCATCCACCTCTGGGTTGGACTCCAGAGTAAGACAGAGGAGGGGGAACATCAAGCCACAGGGTTGAGGGTACAGGTGCATCCCCTGAGGAGGGGTCGGTGGGTGGAAAGCAGACGTGCTGCAAGGATTCCCCCCGTGCTTGGACAAAGCCAGGCCCAAAACAGGGGTATTTGGGTCTAGGACAGCAGCTGGGATCACTCGGTACAGTGCTAAACCTGGGATTGTCCTCATGTCCCTGGAGGGGAGCATGGCAGCTGCTCCTGGCATTTTGGGGTCTGCAAAACATCCCACCGGCCTGCTGGGTTTTGCGGTGCCAAGGGATTTGCACCGAGCCAGCCCCTTTCATGGAGGATTTGGCTCCCTCTGTGCTGCCACAGCATCCAGCGCGGGGCTGGGGGTCTGCCCCACTGGGAGCGTCCTCCTGCAAGCTGGGCATCGCTGCAAAACATCCTGGGCTGGGGGCTGAGGGACTGAGCCCGGCTTTTGCGAGGCAAGGGCAAGGCAGGCGATTGGAAAGGACCCTCTAGAGCGCCCTGGCGGAGGGAGGGGAGCTGAGCCCAGCCGAGCTGCCTGGCAGAGAGCAGGCAGGTTCTCCCGGTTTTGCCTGCCCACGTAACCCCACCCAGAGCAGGCAGTGACTCACGGGAAGGATGGGACGCTGCTCTCGGCACGGCTGAGGGGTGCAAAGGGCATTTAGCCCAAGAAAGAATCAGGTCCCCCCCTCCTCTGGTTTGCCACTAAATGGTACCAGACTGGTCCCATTTTTCTGTTCACCTTTCTGGTCCTCTTGTCCCGTGAAACAGGACGTGATGTTTTCAGGGGCAGCAGAGAGGTCCCGGGGGGTGGCTAACATCTCAGAGCCACCTTTGTGCTGGTGTAAGGGGTCCTGACGGCTCTTGGCCACACCAAGAGGTTTCGGGGCTGACCCCTGTGCATGCACCAAGGTATTTGCACAGGGTGGTTGCAAACGGGGTGGCCAGGAGCCACTGCAAAGGGTGGTGGGGGCCACATCAGGCAGGGATGGCTTTACCTGTCACCAGCACAAGCAACAACCACTCACGGTCTCTGCTGGAGATCTCCAAGGGAGATCCAAGGCCAGTTCCACCACGGTTCCAGAGACACGTAGGTGGAGCAAGGCTGATTTATATCAGCTGAAGCCTTCAGCTCCCTAAAACCCATTAAAGCAGGGGGTGCCTGAGCCCCCCCAGGGCAAGCAGCAGGCAGGAAGGTGGTTGCCTGCCCTCAAAACCTCCAGACCCATCCTTCTCCCTCTCTTCCACCAGGTTTCAGGGGTGTCCACCTCCAAGCTCTCCTTGGCTTCGGGCTCCTGATAGCCTTCCTCGGCCGCTACGGGCCGGGCAGTGTGGCCATCAGCATCCTCATCGTGACCTTTGCCATCCAGTGGGCCATACTGATCCAGGGGTTTTTATACTTTTTCCTGAATGGTAAAATTTACATGGGAGCTCAGAGGTAAGGCAAGAGGGAGCTGCTGCCGCCCAGCCATCATCGTCCCTGCTCCAGCCCTGGCACACTGGCTCCCTCCTCTGTAAAATGCATGGATCTGCTTTGGAGGAGGATTATGAGGAGAAGTAGGACCAGGCTTCTGGATTATTTGAGTGCCACACTAGTAAAGGCCATTTTACAGCCAGGCATTTAGCGGGACATGCTGGCCCCCACCTGCCTCAGGCCCCGCTGTCCCTTTGTCACCAACACAGCAAGGCTAGGCCTGCCCGTTCCCCTTGCAGGAGTGGTGGGATGCAAGGTGCAGGCTGCAGGCGCAGCTCCTGTCCCCCTCCAACCCTGCTCTCCCCAGCTCCCGTTCTCAGCCCCCCAGCAGCGCCGGGTCCAGCCCCACACCTTCCCTCTCCTTCCCAGCATGGTCAGCGCCAACTTCTGTACCGCAGCCGTTCTGATCTCCACCGGAGCTGTTCTGGGCAGGGTAAACCCTGCCCAGATGCTGCTGCTGACCCTGCTGGGCGTCACCCTCTTCACTCTCAATGAATACATCCTGCTCAGTCTCATGGGGGTGAGTCACTAATTGGAGGGGAGGCACCAAAAAGCAGGGTGACCACGGGTTTATGCTCCTCATGTCAAGACCTCCCCTGTCTGTAGAGACAAATCCCATTTCCCTCCCTTCCTGCATGGTGGTTTTCTGTACTCATCAGGTAAACGACAGCGGCGGCTCCTTGACCGTCCACACCTTCGGTGCTTATTTCGGCTTGATGGTTTCACGGATCTTGCACCAGCCCCATATGGACACGAGGAAAGAGCAGGAGGACACAGGGCACCAGCCAGATGTCTTTGCTGCGGTTGGTATGGAAGTCGAATCCTATAATGCTGGAGTCACAGCCATGGTGGTAGAAGGACCATCACAAACATTAGGACTGTGGCCGTGGCTTTGAGCAGCAGAGTCCTGCAAACTGTCAAGGACAGAGGTTCTCTACCTCCCTGGGCAACTGTCCTGGGGCTGCACCACCCTCTCCAGGAAAAAGCTTGCGTCTCTTGGCACTAGCAAGAAGTTTCTTTCACATGAAGGATCCATCTGCCTGTTCCCTTTCCCTGCAGGAACCATCTACCTGTGGATCTTCTGGCCCAGCTTCACCTCAGCCACCACGGTCCACGACAATGCCGAGCCCTGGGCAATGCTCAACACCTACTTCTCGCTGGCAGCGAGCACCCTGGCCACCTTCGTCCTCTTGCCTGTCCTCTACAAGGAGAGCAACCTGCGGATGGTAAGTCCTCTCCTGGGGCAAACCCAAGTCTCGTGCACTGCCTGTATCCTGTCCTACAGGAGCACGAATACACCCGAGGCAAACTGGGATGCTCGTTAGGCTTTCTTAAGTTTGTTAAGACCCAGTTTGATCCCTGAGGAAGCCCAAATTGCCCCAGCCATGTCCTGACGTCCTCCACGGAGCCAATTCCCCTGACCACGTCCCTGCTCCACCAGGTTCAGATCCAGGATGCCACCTTGGCTGGTGCAGCCATGATAGGTATGGCTGGGGAGATGCTGGTCACTCCCTTCGGGGCTCTCATCGCAGGGTTTCTGGCCGGGCTGATTCCCCCGCTTGGCTTCAGCTTCCTCACGGTGAGTCACCTCAGGACAGCCGAGGATGCCAGTCCCAGGTCAGGGGATCACCCGCCTTTGGGGGAGGCTGCACGGCCAACCTGCAGCTCCCAAAACCTGCCAACGCCAGGCCGCTGCACAGCCTCCCTGGACAAGCATCCCCCGTCCGAACCCTGGCTCTTCCTTACGCTCTCCCCAGCCCATCCTGCGCTCCAGGCTGAAAATGCAGGACACGTGCGGGGTTCACAATGTCCACGGACTGCCAGGGATGCTGGGCACCTTGCTGGGGACACTGCTGACAGCGCTGGCCACTGCAGACACTTACGGTGGCAGGTGAGAAGAGCCAGAATCAGGGGTGCCAGTGACTCCACACACCAAGCTGGCGCCACCACGACCCTTGCAATCAGGGATGCTCCACGCAGCCTCTGTCGCAGCACCTCACCTGGGACCACAAGCGGAGCAACCCTGTTTCCCTACCTGGGAGAACAAGCTCCCCAACAACCTTGTCCCTGCTCTGGCTTGCAGACTGGAGCTCCTGTTCCCGCTGGTGGCCCAGGGCAGCCGGACAGCTACCGACCAGGCGCTTTACCAGCTCTGCGCCCTGCCCATCACCCTGCTCCTTGCCACGCTCGGGGGCTGCCTCACGGGTGAGTTTTGCCTCGAGTGGGATGGGACAGAGGGTGCGAGGGGCAGGGGAATGGATGGATTTGGGGGAAAACCCAGGAGCAGTCGGGGCGGACAAGAGCCCAGTGGTGCTCGGAGCTGTGCAAACCCCTTGGGGCCGAGGCTGGGGCTGCCCCCGGGGCCCGAGCTTCCCCCCGG